CTTCTCACGTGTGCACCACTTTGTGTTGGTCTTTCATGTGGACTTCCAATAAAATTGATTCATGTTTGTGGCTGTAATGTGACAAAATGTGGAAAGGTTCAAGGGGGCCGAATACTTTTGCAAGCAATTGTATCAGGTTATTCTTAGTACTGTGTACTTATAATGAATATCTTGCCCAAACTTAGTTATCTTAAGTCAGCTTTAGTCAATGTTTTTGAGACAAAAACTTTACATAATTTATTTAAGTTCTGGGAATGAATTAGATTTTACAAGTTAAAGCTGCTGTTAAAACAAAAATATTTTCTATTGAAATACACTTTAAAGAGGAATTGTTTTGGGTGTTAATTGCAATTTGAAACATGCTCAGCAATAATGCTCTAGACACAGGGAGTGTATACATGACACCTTTTTATTGATAAACATAACAAAGTCTGGGGAATATATGGACAAACATGCTTTTATTTTCTTCTTTCAAATTCTCATAAACACAAATGTAAAGCTTTCTACTTTTTCCTTCTCATATCACAAGAATAGGTATTTCAAAATAATCCTTGTTTACATTATTAAGAAAACCAAGTCAAGATAATTTCTTGTGTATTATTTTATTATTTCTACTGGATAATAATTAGTAAACCTATAGTAATTGTGATGTCCAAAGTCAACAGAAAACAATTTACTGACATTAAGATACAAATTGCACTCTGTTCCTGTGTTTATTGTCCTTTATCTCCATATTGATGTACAGTTAATTACATGAAGATGAATTCAATTCACACCAATCCTCATTGTGTTTTGCAGGCCCCCATCTTCACTACCACAGCTACACTTCCCACTAAAGCCCCAACTGCTGCCCCCACTGCGGTACCCACTGGTCCCACCGCAGTTCCAATAGCTGCTCCTGTAACTGCTGCTACACCCACTCCACTAATGGACATACTAGTTCTTAAAAAACGCTGAACGAAGCGACTGTCTTCTTCTGCCACTTTTCTTGCCTCTGCAAGAGTTATAGATACATTTTCTCTCATAATTTGTTTTATCTCATCTGCAATAGCTTGATAAGCATCTTTGAATATTTCATTGGTATAGTAGTTTCCTTTGTTGTGCTTAACCATCACATTGATCTTTTCCAGCAGCTCTCTGACCTGAGTGGGTTCCTTGTTTCTGTTGTTAAAAACGTGATATCCTCCACGACACTGACGGATGAAGTCAGAGAGAGCTTTACTTTCTTTAATGAAGTCCTCTATGTTGACTTCATCTTCCTCCAGATTGTCTCCATAAGTGAACAACACCATAGTGTAATGGTGTGCTTCCTTGCCAAATATCTTCTGAATCATTTTCACTGTGTTTTGTTCTTCCTCTGTAAATTGGAATGGCTGCAGCACAACCAGGAACGCATGAGGACCAGGAGCAGCAAATAAGATGCACCTAGCAATCTCTGTCACCACCTCATTGTTACTTTTTTCGGTGTCAAACAGACCTGGAGTATCGACTACAGCCAGTTCTTGACCTTCAAACTGACAGGTTTCCTTCTGACAC